AGGTAGCGGTGAGTCCTCGGGGCTCTGGAGTTTCCGAAGCCATCAGCCAGGGCGTTCGGATACTCTTGTCTTGTATGACAGACGGAGTGTCCCGACTAGCCTCGGGAATCGCTGGCCCTCTAAGTGCAGACCAGAATCGGCCTCCAGGCCCCACGCAGGCAGAACCAAATGAAAACACGCATTCCAAACGCTTTCTTGAAAATGGGAAAGCTATTTTTTTTTCCTCAAATGGTTTGAAGTTATTCTCCCGAAGTGACCCCAAGGAGACTAGGGAACAAGTTTTTAGGTAGCTCCACGAGGCCAAGGTCCCCAGAAGTGGGTTTGCGGTTTAGTGTTTGCAATGCGGAGAGGATAATTGGAGGAAGAGGCGAGAACAATCTGCAGCTCCTCGTCTGCTCAGCGAGCCGCGAGAACCGGCAAGGCAGCCACTCTAGCTAGAGCGAATTAGTTCGCCAAAGACTTAAAGAGTCTTTCTGATTATATTTTTTGGAAGATCTGTAGATGTCGAAGTTTAACTACAGGAAGTTAAAAAAAAAAAAACATGGACTGCATTCCGAATTCCGGTTAAATCCTACTTAAAACTGCTGGCTGCATTTTCAAATAGCGCACACATCAATACAAATAGATGCGCAAGGCACTTTTGTTTTAGGCATTTTCGTTTGAAGAAATGCTGCGTTTCTTTCCACAAAGGTAGTCCCCTGACTTCAGTGTGGTGTTGGCATGAAAGGAACTGGCTTTGGTGAGGAAATCTCAGTTTACGTCTTTCTCTTTAAAAGTGTGGGAAAGGAACATATCTGAGAAGGTATGAGTAAAAACGCTTCACCCTGAGAAACCGAAACTCTCAGAGATGGCCTGTAATTTACAGTGCAGACCACACAATTTGCTGGATTTGGACTGATTTTTCTCTCAGGAAAGAGAAATGAGCTGTTTAGAAATTAATTCCTAACAAAATCTAGAAAAATTGCCCACCCATGCAAAACAAGCTATGTGCTCACAGCCCACTTAAAAAATCCCTCTCACAACATTAGTTCACCACAGAAGTCCACACACTCGAGAAATCAGATATGTTTAACACTTTCTAGAAGTAAGCAACATGGTTAGCCTTTCCTTAAAATTATACAAATGCTCAGCCGTTAAAGACTAAATTTATAACTCAAATCAGGCAATGCATTACCCTTCTTACCATTAAAATGCAGTTAGTGCTAGTCTGCTCAGGAAGTTGGGGACAGGTTTCCAACTTCTTTAAACTAAAAAACCAGAAGCAGATACAGCACACTTCACTACTGCCACCAACAAATCAACAAAAGTCCACTTAGTGTCGCTGCCAGAAATGAAGCCCTTCCTCATTTCTTTTCTTTGTGCATGGGAGTCATTCAAATGAAATTTCTAGGACAGCTGTCAAAATGACTTAAAACTCACCTAAAATTTCATATATCAGGTCAGCTGAATTTACAGCAACATTATTTTTTCACAGCTGAATAGAAAATCACTGTAACGCTACATTGAAATTTTTAAAAATGGGTCAACGAGGCCCTGTTTTCATAATTAAATAACTGTGCAAGGAGACAAATAATGTCAGATGAACAAAAACTATTGACTACCTGCCTATTTCATACGTGTAGGAAGTGAGTAGATCTGTTAGAGTTTGACATAAACAAAGGTTTCAAAAATTATCACATTTCCCCTCGGTAATGAAATTACTATAATGGTTAACACGAGGCTCTTAACAGCTGTAATTTTATTTATTATATATACGTTTATAAAACCCCCCGGGAATTTGCCACCACTTCAGCAAGATCTGTAATCAAATATCCGATGGGAGGGGCTCGTGAGGTGATGGAGGTGAACCCAGGCAGACTCTAAGTACTAAAACAAAGCCAAGCTGTGCAGTCATATTTACTTTATCTGACAGTAATTGGCTAAAGTGTCTGATACGAAAACCTATTGTTAATTGAGCACGGATCCAAGATTTCAGAGATCTTTTCAGACAAGAGAATGCAAATGCCCCTGAACGTGCTAGTAACTGGATACCGAGTGGAACTAGATTCTGTGCCCCGATAAGCCGCAGTAGAGGGGGACCTCCAGCATCGGAATTTTCCTGCTTAATAGTGGCTCACAACTGACGGCCCACAGGCCCTGTAGTCGTTTAGGGTGCCCGCTGCCAGCGCGGGAAAGGGAGGCCACCTGGAAGCGACTGGACTGGCTGGGAACCTGCTACTTCGAAACCAGTATAAGCCAATATTTAACAGTCTGGAGAGCGAATCTGGAGATGACCAGAACCCCTGCTCTGGGCAAAAATCAAAGACCGACCCTAAAACTCCAGGGGTGGGTGGAAGTCTCTGGATCGGCGGTGCGGAGGCCCGGGATAGGGGTGGGAGAACAGGTTAGGCCATAGAGATGCCACGTCCTGGCACATTCACCAAGCCCCCATAGAGTCCTCTCAGACGGAGTCCTGTCCAGCCTGCTGTGGAGCATCTTGGCCAGGGTCCTCAAGAAAGAGTCGTCCAGGTGTGTCTTGAGGATCCCTGGCTAGGTAGTGGAAGGATTTGGAGGAGACCCCGCCACGTGCTCCTGCAGGCGGGGGAGCAGACAGTCATCTGCATGGGCCTTCCCGGCTGCAGCAGGTGTGCGGGTGTGTCGCTGAGTTGCAGGGGGTTTCATTCTGGGCCAAGGTTTAGGTGAGGGCGCAGCAGGGCTAAGAAGCAAGAAACCAAGCTAGGAGACATACAATAGCGTTTATCTTTTCTTTTGTCCAAATCTTGAAATCACCTGAGAGCTTAGGAGGGGAAACTGGAGAGCAGAAGCGAACAGAAGCCTTTCTCCGCGACGGTTTTGCCTGGCAATTGGCGGCAGGGGGGGGGGAAGACTTTGGCGGCAGGGTGGGGGAAAGACTGGAGCGCGATTTCCTCTCATCTCCACCTGGGACGCGCATTTCGACTCACAGTCCTCTACCCTGCAGGGCCGCGCACTCACCCCCACCTCGATCGGACGTTTGCGCTTCGCGTCCTCAGCAAAACCAGGCTCACTCCTCCCTCGGCTTTGTAGCGACCGCTGCCCCCGCCTGAGGCGTCAACAGTCTCAAGTCTTAAAAGTGAAAAGGCTCCTGCGACCGAGGCACGATTTCGAGGAGCGAGGGCCTACCCACAGGTGATCTTTCCCAATGTCCCCAGGGCACGTGGAGGGAGCTTCGTCCCAACTTCCCCGGTGGCCCCTGGCGCAGCCTCTCCGCAGCCTTTCTGCTCTCCCCGAGGAGCCCCGCCTCCCTCTCCTCCCAACCCTTTCTTTCCAGGGCCGTGGGCACCATCCTTCTGCTGTCCCTGGGTTCCGCAAGGCCGCTTTCCATATAATCCTATTCGTGCCGCGTCTACCCGTTTCCCAGGGCGTCATCCTTGGTGCCCGTGCCTTCCAGCCGTCTGGCCTTCCAGCCGTCCTTTCCAGTTGAAGCCAGTTTCTCCCAACTGTGAGGTTCTAAGGGGGTGGGGGAGGGGGGGAGAGACGACAAACAAAAGCCAGGGGCGGTCTGGTGAGGAACCCCACCGTGAAGCCAGAACCACTCCCTGTTTGTTATTTCCAAGACGGCCAGAAACTAGCAGGTAGAGAACTAAGGCAACAGAATGCAACCGCTGTCTCAGAAAGAGAGCCAGAAAGCTAGCAGGTAGAGAACTAAGGCGTGTCTGAAAGTTGAGGCCTACACTCCAGACTCCAGAAGGCGGAAAGAGCTGCAGCCACAGCTGGGTAACCTCCCTTCGGAGACCAGAGCCTGCTTTCACAACCCCTGCCAGGTCAGAATCGATGAAGCCAACACTGACCTGCCGCAGAAAAAGGATAGCTGCACGTTTTGAGTCCTTAGCATTCCTAGACCTGCACTATACTGCCGGTCTGGTTAGCTTTATTTAACTAGAGCAATTACCCTAGAAGAGGGAATTCGTCTCCTTTATATAGACGAGGAAATTGAGAGCGTCTGAAACCAAATATTGACTCAGGCCGGGATTCGAAGCAAGAGCAGCTGGACACCAAAGAATCCCATCATCTTGTCTTTCAGGTACCTGCTGTCTGCAGTCACTGCAAGGGCCGCAAGGGCAAATACGACCTGGACCCTGCCCTCACAATCTAACCTGACAGCCAGGCGGACACATACAGCCATAACTCTAGGTGGGGGGAGTGACAAGTGACATTACGTTATAACGGAGAAAGTTCAGAGGAAGAGGACTTCCGGGCTAGGCGACCTGGCAGCGCTTCCTCGGAGGAGGACGTGGTATTTGAGTAGAGCATCGAAGAGCAGCTTTCCACTCGTGGGAATGAGGATGGAAACGACACTTCACGTGGAGAGAACAGCTAGAGCAAAAACAAGGTGGAATTTGACACGTCGCTCACACTTCCACGGATACTGCATTCGTCTCCTGAGGAATCAATCCACCGTCCGGTATTTACTGGCCAGGAAGTTTTCCTGCCCCGAAGCAGCTTTTGTAAAGCCAGTCCGTGTCATCCTTTTAGGACTTGTTGGTTCATGGACAGTGAGCCTCTCAGAACCGCCCCTGGTCGGGAAGATGCGGCTAGGTGAAACGGGATTCGGTGATTCGGACACCCGGCTCAATGCAGCCTCTCCCACAGCGACTTGGACCTCAAGACCCTATTCTAGTCCCTGTCTATTTCTGGTAACGCTGCAACATCCCACTGGGTGGACAGGGAGGGCGTGGCCCATATACGCCAGAACCAATTAGGAAGCAGGCCAGGATGCCGACCCCGCCCCTCGACGTGACGCAGGGCCCCCGGACAGAGGCTTCACTGCCCCGGCCCCAGTCCTTGCAGTGGCTGTAACAAAACCCAGACCCCCAGGTCCGGGCCAATGGAGGCGATTTAGACTGGAGCAGGACCGCGTCTGTCAAAAGCTCGACTCCGTAGCACCGCGAAGTCCAGAGGAAGAACTGGAGCCGCCGCACTGCCTCCCCGCCCCCGCCGGGATTTATTGAGTATTTGGACTGGACAATTAAGTGGCCCTGATGATGTTACCAAGCCCGGTCACCTCCACCCCTTTCTCAGTCAAAGACATTTTGAATCTGGAGCACCAGCAGCACTTCCACGGAGCTCACTTGCAGGCGGAGCTGGAGCAGCACTTCCAATCGGCTCCCTGTATGCTGGCTGCGGCTGATGGGACACAATTTTCTGATGCAGGGGAGGAGGAGGAGGAAGAAGAGGGAGAGAAACTGTCCTATTTGAACTCACTAGCTGCTGCCGAGGGCCACGGAGATTCAGGTCTCTGTCCACAAAGCTATGTCCATACAGTCCTTCGAGACTCCTGCAGCAGGCCCAAGGAACAAGAAGAGGAGGTTGTGAGAGAACGGAGCCAAAGTGAGTAGACGGGAAAGGAAACGCGTCCCTCCACCTGGAGCAATGGCTCAGCGCCCATAAACAACCCACAAACGGTGCCAGCATGGCCACCCTCCCCTTTCACATTGGCTAGGGCCATGCCTAGCCAGGTTCAAGGACAGCTGTGCAAAGCACAGGTACCTGAGATGGAGCGAGGGTAGAGTGGGAAATGAGGTGATTTCCTAGGGCGGGGAGCGGGAGCAGTCCCTGAGGAAAGGGCAAGTGATTATTGCAGCCCTGGTTCCGATAAGTGACAGGGGTCTTGCAGCTGGGTCCTAACACCATCGTGTGTGTGTGTGTGTGTGTGTGTGTGTGTGTGTGTGTGTGTGTGTTCTCTCGAACATCCCTCTTCTCAAAAAGGAGTCAGTAGTCTGGCCAGTTTTCTGACTTTCTTCTAATGTGAGTTGAGTTCTGAGTGAGGCCAGCGCAGTCACCCGGGCTTTCCCGAAAAGGCAGTGTGAGCAGATGAGCAGATTGTGTTTTCAGCGTCCTGGAAGATAGGGAACGTTGAGAAATCTGAACTAGGAGCTCAGCGTTCTCACACCAACAGCACCGTGCGAAGGAAAAGGGATAGTTGGTGTGTGGGCCACTCCAGATGGCCGCACCGCTCACACCCTTGAGGTGAAGGCCTTAAAAAAAAAAAATTGCAGTGTTCGCTTTGTGTCTCAGACTGCAAGCCGAATAGAGTGGACAAAGTGAAGAATTTAGCTTGAGATTCTGGACGCTCGGCAGACCAGAGGTGGTAGGAAAAATCGGATAACTGAATAAGCCCCCAGGAAATGTCTGAAAGGAAGACAGAATCAAAGAACCTCTTCTCCAAGTGAAGGTTTGATATGGCTGAGACCAAGGCCTTTCCCCTGACAGTTCGCCAGGCCTAAAACAGACACGAAACTGTCGAAATCTATCCATCCAATTTTTCCCTCTTTAAGGAAACATACATATTCTGTTACACATACATTCTCACTAGTTTTGATAAGAAAAAAATCAGTTCTTGAGTTGCTTATATTCCTTATACTTAGATATTTCCGAACAGAAAAAAAATGCAATCAACCCATGCATCTTGGCTGCCTGTCCCCAATACCAACACATTTCACACCTTCAGGTATCTGTGGCAAGTGATAGGCAAACGAGTTTGCAAATACTGTCGTTGTTAAACAGACACAAGCGTGAAAATAGTCATTAGTGCATGGAGCGGCACGCTTAATCTCTTTTCTCTCAGACACTCAAGTTTTAATAAATGCGAGCTAACTACTCCCCATAGAACATGCCTCCTCCCGTGGAGATGCTCAGCCTGATTCAGGGCCCCTGGGCATCCGGAACCATGAACTTTCCCCAAATCTAAGCATTTACTACCGAGTGTGCTGTGCTTCCGGGATGTGGGGATGCTAAATAGGGAGCTAAGGTCTTGCTTCTCCCCGCAGAAAGCTGCCAGCTGAAGAAGTCTCTAGAAGCGACGGCAGACTGTAAGGCGAGCGAGGACGGCGAGAGGCCAAAGCCGCGCAGCCGCCGGAAGCCGCGGGTGCTCTTCTCGCAAGCTCAGGTTTTCGAGCTGGAGCGCAGGTTCAAGCAGCAGCGGTACCTGTCGGCGCCCGAGCGCGAACACCTCGC